AGTGGCAATTGTCAAAGCTTTGCATTTGAGTAACAGCAAAGGATGAAGAATCAAGTGTGTTCACTGTAGGACACTGGTAATCTGAAGCTATTATTTTCTACCTTTTCTGTTCTGTGGACCATATTGTAGTATATTTCAGTTCCCTGACTTTTTCTTCTGCTTTTAAAAGTCCTCTTAGAAAGCAGGTACAGGTCCCTTCTAACCTCTAGTGTTCTATGATTCTGTGATCTTGAGGTGTCTGTGAATCAGAGGCTGAAAACATTTGCATGGTAAGGCACTTTGAGTTGTGAGAGGTGCTTACAGCTGTGTCACAGCCCCACTGGAACCTAGACTGGGATTTGCAAAGACTGGGCTTTATGCATGGAATAACACAAGTGAAACCAGTGGAACTGCTCCTGCAACACACTTGTACAACCTCTCCTGGTCCTGCAGCATTGGGGCTCAGCAGTAGGTCTGAGTAAAGGCTGACTAGTATTTATCTGTTCAGCTGTATAGTTCTTAGTTTAGTATCTTGTTAGGTAAATCTGTGCAGTTTGCAGGTAACTCGTTACTCTTTCTTTATGGTTTCCCAGGGTAGTCCTGAGCTTGGAGTCTTTCTAAGTGCACACTATTAAGTTCTGTTGGTGCCACTGTGAGGATCCTTGTTTTAATCAACTCTGCTCCTTCTTGATTTTTATGCTGAAAGCTCTGGAGTATGGATGCTCTGTATTTCTTACAGATAGCTTCTGCTTTGTTACTTTGCTTTTCTGTCGCTGGAAGCTGGTTGTGAAAACCTGGACAAAGCTAGTTGTCTATGATGAGATATTTGCCTGAATTGGGCAAAATACTCCTAGACTTCTTGCTCTAGTCAGACTGGTTTGTCACACAGGCCACGATGACTACTCTTAAGTAACTAATATATTGGCAGTAGTTAGTGCTTTTTAAACGAATAGGTATGAGATTTTTCTTGTAGTCCTCATTTGGCAGAAAGTGAATGCCTTTTTTTACAGAGCATTTGATTTTCAGGATATAGCCTTTAATGTGAACAAAGACTTTTCAAGCTGAAGTACTTTAAACAGAGCAATACCTTGACAGGCTCTTTGTGCACTCAAGTGCTGTGTATACACGAAGCAGCAGTAGAAATATCCCTGTCCTGGGGTTGGTGCTGTGTTAAACAGGAGTAAGGCTGAGTAACCTGGACAGGCTGATTGCCAAGAAGCAGCACAGTGTGAGGTCTGTTTTATCTGCCCTGTCTGTGCAACCCAAACGAGCGGTGTGGTGTGTTTGCTCTACCCAGGTACTCATTCCAGCTGCAGTGTTCATTGGGCTGCACAATGATGACTGCTGTGGGTGCTTTGGCCACCAGGGCTGCGGGAAGAGCTGCGCGGTAAGTAAGCCTGTACACCCCAGTCCCAGGTAATCCCAGAGACAAGGTGATGGCTCTGCTGAACATTTGTATTTGTCTGCCATATAGATGCTGTCCTCGGTTCTGGCAGCCTTTGTTGGGATCCTTGGCTCTGGATACTGTATAATCATTTCAGCACTGGGCTTGTCTCAAGGACCATATTGTTTTACCCACCTAGAGAGAAACTGGAACTATCCTTTCACTGATTCCTCTGGAGGGTAAGTTGTCTGTTCATGAGGATATTGTATTTTCCCCCATGTACGCATGGACTTTATTCCAGTACCTTTCAGCAATATGCAGTAACCATATACCAAGGTCCCTTCATAACTTTAAGCTTCTCACTCACTGAGAACTAAACAAATGGCAACAGTTATACTGCTATAGTGTTAAACCACAGCAGTAGAAATCCTCTGTCCTACAAAGAGGGATCTGAGCATAGGTAATAATATCTATGCATCATGTACTGTTCATGTCCATGAACGTCTCTAACAAAGTATAAAGTTTTAGGAATTAGAGGGATTTTCAAATGATGAATAGTGGTTGTTATGAAATTTGTCTTGTCATTTATGTAAGAGTCTGTTTTGTCAGTTGCTTTGCATCACCATGAAATGGCACAATGCCTTCATTAGTGACAATGGCACAGAACCTCATAAATGAAAATAGAGAAGGCTTATAAGAGTCATTGTACACTGCAGGGTGGGGGGAGCCAGAAGCTCCTAATTATTCCTAATTAGTGTTCTACAGCAAAAAAAAAGTCTATGTATGCTATTCTCCATTAGTCCCCACAAATCCTATAGTTTGGAGGAGGAGTCAGTTTGGATCATAGCACGGTTTTACAGTGTCTGTAGGGTTGGCAACCTCAAGGCTGTTTCTAGTAGGAGCTTATGGCTGATGCCAGACTAGAGGAGTTTGAGTATTTGAATAAGAAGCCACATAAAGCTCTTTGCAGTAGAGTTTGAATTTTACATTTTAGTTACATCTCTCCCAAGACCAAGTTAGTCTGGTTGCAGTCGAGTTAGTTTAGTTGCATCTCTCTCAAGTTCCTCCTCCTCCATCCCCCCCAGCCACTACTGAGTATAGAAGAACTGGGTTAGGTCCTTGCTGAAGACTCATCACTGCTGATGTTCTGAAGATGTGAGCGAGCAGTAACAGGTGAAACACTGCAGTACCCCTCCAAATTTGTTCTCTGTTTGGCTCTTCCAAGTTGGCATGTGAGGGCCCAAAGACAGCAGGACTAGGGAGGAAGTGACCCATTTGCCTCAGATCAGTAATTGCCATAATAAGATAAAAAGTCAGTCCTGGAAAGCTCTGTGGTTGTTTTGAGAAACAGCTTTGCTCTTTCAGCTTCCTTGAGCTTGTGCCTCACTTTAATCAGTAATAAAAGATCCTACCTTTATAGCTTAGGTCATTCTTTTTAAAGAAACCAAGACTTAGCAAAAAAAGTATGGTTGATATTTCAGCATGTTCCTAGAGCAAACAAACTTTGCATGGAATAAACCATTGCATTTTCTGTTCCCACTTAGAGCAAACATCCTAGATGCAGTTGCAGGCTAGACATAACCTGGTTCTAATGTATGGCAAACATCCCACTCTGACAGAATGTTAATATGCTTTTAATTGCTGTGTGCAGGTACTTGTTTGAGTATAACAAGTGGTCTCGATGTCAAGAACCTCAAAACATTGTGCAGTGGAATGTCACCCTGTTTTCCATCCTCCTTGTCTTGGGAGGAATAGAGTTCATTCTGTGCTTCATACAGATAATCAATGGCATTCTTGGAGGACTGTGTGGGTTGTGCTGCAATCATGAGGAGGTAAGTCATTGGCAGCAATAACCATGCTTCTCAGGTGAACATGAAGCAGGATTGTTACTGGTGCTACTGTGGAGTCTTACTCAACAGTTACTTTTTAGGTATTCTTGAGCAACAATTCCATGTACAACTTGCGTTATAGTCCTGTTGTGTTTAGCAGTTTCATGTAGTATTTGACCATGTAGTTTCAGCTGGTTCCTCAGCTGTCCCAGTGACATTAGTCTGCATGGGAGCTGGAAGGCTTTTTTACTGCCCAGTGGCACATGTGATCGTCAGCACTATGTAGAAAATGTAACTGAGATACAGATCTCCTGGTGGTCATGGACTTCGCCAGTGCCTAAACCATTGTTGCCTAGTGTGGTGCTTGTTCTAGTTATATTGCTCTTGCTTTGTGTTTTGCCCCCAGCAGCTCATAAACTCCTAAGAATATGCTGCATGCAATAAAAACTGCAGCATCCTGGCCTTGCTTAGTAAAAGTAAGATAGGAGAAGGAATTAAACTGCATGTAGCTAACAAAACCTGCAGAGAGATCTGAAGGTGCTTTGAAGGTGGATTTTGTTTTTGACTGAGGAAAGGGAGCTTCCTCCAAATCTCTTTAACATCCTGTTTAACAGTTTGGGCATGTTGTTGAAATCAGTATCATAGTGGTAGTGCTGGAACCTCAATGGCTTAAGGTATAAACCAGATTTAATTTGTATCACACGTTATAGCTCTGAGTGTGTTTGACATGTTTAATTGACATCGTTGAATGTGGGGCTCTTTCAAAGCCATTACTATCTTCTCCCTCCTGTGTCCCATGCTGTAACTGCAGTATAGAACCACAATGCTGTGGCTGTCTAAATGTGCTCAGGTTAATTTTTGCCTTTATAGTTGGATACAATACTAGCATTCTTTCCATTAATATGTTTCTTTCTTTTTGTTCCCCCCGCAGACATATGCTTGCTAGAAACCTGACAATGCATTGACTTCGTGGGTGTGTGTGCTGTAATGAGTATTCTGTGGAGTTTTTTAAACTCCATGCAAACTGAAATACACATTTGTCAAATTGTGCTGTTGCCATCGATTTAAGTGACTTGGGGTCAGCCTTTGTCGTTGCAGTTACATGCAGGTTTTCCACTAACCTGCCTCTGTCTAAAGGCAAAATGTATCCTGGATATCTTTGGTCCATTTCATCTTAGTGCAGACAACTGCCTGAATATGTGTCACTAAAGAGGTTTTATTTATTTTATTCTTTTTACTGTCGCAACAGCTCTGTCCTTTATCCTGCTCTCCCAATAAAGTTGCTCTTTTATTCTGATTTTGGAATGAACACAAACCAAATCTGGCCTGGAAATAAATGAATACTAGGTTTTGGTCAGCTGGACCAAAACCAAAGCAGCAGTAAGATGTGGATGATCAAGGGTAGATACATGCACTTCACCTTTTGAGTACTGTTCTGACCTTCCCCTGTATTCCACAAATAAAGATTTGTATTAAAAATCCCCAGCAGGTGTCAGTGATTCCTTCCCTGCCCCGGCTGAAACATGACTTTGCCTGGTCTTGGAGTAAAGGACACTGGTGGCATGAGAACGTGGCTATAACATAGTCAGGTTACAACCTGCTTTTCCTCTCCAGCAGGCTCTGCCAGAGTGGGAACTGCTGGGTTTGGATCACTTAGCTGAGTCAGGTGGTTGTGCATCAGCAGGAGTTCAGTGACAGTTCTCTGACAGATACAGCTGTACATGTGGAGTCTTCGTCCTGGGTTGGGCCAACAGTTCCTGGCTGATGACCATCCCAGGGACCTGAGGGGACACTGCATGCAGCTGAGCCCATCTGGGAGTCCCTTCTGCCCTCCCAAGAGGGGTCACCTCCTGACTGCCTATTACAGGCCTGAGACAAAACAAAATGTGGGCCTGACTTCTGGATTTTACCTCACCCAGCAGACCCTCAGGCCTTACAGTGCTCAGGGAATCCAGTGCAAATTCAGGTTGGCAGTGACAGATTAATGCCAAATACCTGACTTTACCCATAAGCAGCCTGGAGGCATTGTTATAAGATCCTGTGCAAGAACCTTTGGAGTGTTGCTTGTAGCATATTAGAGTGAATGTTTTATCACAAGTAAGTCTGAATAACATGCTGCCAACAGCATTGCTGGCAAGGTCAGTATGCTCCTGGCAATCACATTTTTCAAGTGAAAACCAAAATGTGACATGCCATTTATCTCAAGGCAATGAGGCTTAGTTTTGGAATCTAGCTGTTAATGTTGTCTCTGAAAACAGACAAGTTGGTTTCTGTTTGTGGGAGAAAAAGAAGTTCCCGTGGATGTCAGTGTGTCCTTAGGCTATTTGTAACTAGGAGGGTGGTCTTTAACAGCAGCCAGAAATGTGAGGTGCATCTCATGCTGCCCTTGCAGTCAAGTCTGCTCTCTACAAATACAAAGCTGAAAAGATATTAACTGTGAAAACAAAATTGTACACATACAACCACAGCTGCAAAAGAATTGTCAGATGGAAGAGTCTGTGTTTAAAATCTCAGGATACCTGATTTTTGCAATAGGATTTATTAATACCTAAATATGTAGAGGTAGTTGAGGGTCTTTAATGCCATTTGTTTGTTGTGTTTATTCCTGTCTTGCCCTGCTATGGGAGGAAGGAGAATATGTGCATGCATGTGTGTGTGTACACACAAAATTCCTTGCAGCTGTGCAGTAGTGTCTGTGTGTGTGAAGAAGCACTGTTTGAAAAAGTATCTGCAGGATTAAATTTGGTGTGGAATGAGAGGAGGAGGAAAAGGAACGGGGTCCTCAATGGAATCATTTCCATGCAACACAGAGGTGTTTGCCTTTATGCTTGCATAGCTGTTATTTGTCTTTCTGGTACACACAATTCATTAAAGAACTGAAACTATTTTAGAAATTCCAATAGGCAGAATGATTAAGCTAGAGTTTAGACTTTAAACTTCAGCCCAGATCCATGTAGCACCAGTGCTCAGCATTTCTATGCACTATTTATATTGCCATGTGAAAAAAGGCCCGTGGGACTCCTTTGTTGCCTGATGCATAAGACAGTGTTTTGTGAGGTTTATGGGCTACATTGTGGAGAAGTGGTTGGTTCAGGTTGTATTTGTTTCAGCTGCAGAGCAGTCCCTCATCCAGAGTAAATGTGGCTTTACTGTAACGGGTTTGGCATCAACTCATGGATAACAACAGTTCGGGAAAGCAGTGATTGCAACACTTGGTAAGATATTTGAGAAACCAACTGACAGGTTTGCTTCATTCTTTGTTTCGTGTTCAAGTGGTATCATGTGCCAGCAAAATAACCACACTGTGATTTGGTATTTGCAGAGCTCAGTTTAAACACAAACTAAGTTGTGATGCAGATTGCTGCACTACAGAACAATTGCTGCTTCAGGCATCTCCCATGTTAATTTCTTCTAGTCAGAATAGATCATAATGGAAATAGTAGCAGATCTGATTATAAAATATGCTGCTTGATACTAATTTTGGCCTTTACTTTCAGAAAAAAAGATTTCAGCCTATTACATGATCGTTGAGTTTTGTAATAAAAATCAGTCCTGGGGATGTGATGTGTGTGCTTTTATAGCAGCTGTTTTCTCTGCTCTGAAAGATGCAGTGTTGAGGACATGAGTTCCGTTTTAGCCTGTGAGCCTGGAAGGGCAGGTTTGCTGCTAATTCTGATTAGAGGGAAATCTGGAAAAAAGTGTCCATAGTGATTTGAGAGTAAAAAGGCAATACAGGAAGATCCTCAAAGTCTGAAGACTTCAAAATGAAACCTCCTAGAAAAAGAGGAGAGTCACAACAGAGTATGGGGAGAAAAATGATGTAATTATGTGAGTACCCCATGCCCATTTCCTTGTGTGAACTCATTCAAAGCAGTAGTATGGAATTAGTTACAACATGCAATCCAAACAGCCTTTATGGGATGACAAGAGAAGCCTCATGCATGCAGAGCCTGAAACAGCTCATGAGGAAACAGAGGGAAAATGTGTCATGACATCATTGCTTCTAAAATCAGCTTTCCTGCTTTTGATAGAGCCCCATTTTTTTTTGTTCTCTGACTGCAACTTTCCTATTGAGTAAAGCCTAAGCTAATTCTTGAGTTACTTTTCTGATGACTCACAAGGGGCACAGACTTGGGTCATGCTGTGAGTGCTCAAACCTCCCCAGCTCTGTGTTGCTGGGATGGATGTTTAGGTGCTCAGGTGTTAGGGAATGATGACACGTGACCACGGGGAAGCTGTCTGGCTTTGCACAGGGCAAACAGCAGGTATTTCAGAAAAACAACCAGACTTTCTGTCCTGCACAAGAAGTCATGTGTATGTAGGTCAGGTCTGTAGCTGTGCAAGCTCAGTTGTAAGCACAGGGTGAAACAGTTGGAGAAATAGAAGGATTTAATTTGTAGAACATTTTTTTGGAAAGAGTAATTGATTAAAAGAGTGAAAGTAAGTCTGCCTGGCAGTTTCTAACCAGTGTTATTTGGGCTTCTGTACTCTCTGCAAGACAGCCCAGACTGGTGTTCCTGTGCAGCTGCCCCAAGTCAGCAACAAATGTTGGCTCCCCCTTAGGGCTCTGATACTAATTCTCTGTAGTGAGGCAAAGTGTGGCCTTCTGTACGGAGACTGGGCATATTTATCATCTGACAGCCTCCTTCCCCATGTTGCAGTAAGGCTGAACAACCTGCCTCTGTCACAGGTTGTGTGTGCCAGTTTGTATGCTGGGGAGGAGCAGGGAATTTCTGAGCAGTCACTAGGAAATGAGAGCTTTGAAGTTCCTTCCTGAGTCCAACTCCTAGACATATTTTGTTTGGAAGATCACAAAGGAGGATCTTTTAGAAGGAAAGTGGCTGCTTAAAGACGTGCTTAGACAGGACAGGGAGTTTACACAGTGATATTCATCTGTTGTTCTGCTAACTGTTAAGCACTTCTGTCCCTGGAATCACACTCCAGTCAGTGGTTCCTGTGAATATGAAATGACTGAATCAAGCTGGGGGAGTCAAAGCGCTCTTCATATTTAAAATCTTGTAATCCTTTCTTAGTTTAGAAGAGCAAAACTTCCAGAGCTCTTGAGAGATGGCTTTAGAGACATGTGGAAGCTGTTTGAGTTGTCTGCTGATTCCTCTTGCGCTTTGGAGTATTGTTGTGAACATCCTCCTGTACTTTCCGAACGGGAAAGCTCTGCATGCTGCCAGCTCCCAGCTCCCCAACTACATCTGGTATTTTGAGGGCATCTGTTTCTCAGGTGTGATGGTAAGTGCTCATTCTGTGGATTGTTAATGAATTGCATTTTACTGCAAGTAATAATTGGGTTACTCTTCAACAATGTAATTATGCTTTTAAAGAGCATATGGATCACTTTGGCAAAACCACTGCAGGCAGAAAAACTCGAACTGGAAAAGATGTTAATATACTGAATGACAAGCTATGTATACTCTTTAACATAAGTGATTTTGCAGGGTTGATTGTTTAGGGGTTGTTTTCTGCTGCCTCTTTGTTCATGTGTAATTTACAGAGGTAGACACTATGTTGATTTAATCCTCTATGGAGGCTGAATTAAAGCTCTTTTACCAAAACAAAATGAAACAAAAACTAAAAGAGCTTCGTGTAGTGGTTCAGATGTTTTTAAGAGTTATGTGCAGCCCAGTGTTTTAGTGAAGGTGCTGAATTGGGAGAGTTACTAAAACATGAGACATTGTTTTGAAATCGTGTATTCTTCCTAAAGCAGAAAAAAATCCTTATCTTTTCCAGCAGAGGAAAAGAACTCTCAGGCAGGATTCAAGCAGAAAAACACAGCTGCAAATTGGGAAAAAGTTAACTGCAGCAGGGATGTTGGTATCTTAAAGCATTTTTAGCTTTAGAATTATTACAAATTTGTAAAAAATAAATATCATTCTGTTACAAAGAGGTCAGCAGCAGGTGAGAGGATAGTGCTGTGATTCAGAAACATCCCCTTCTTGTATTTCTGCTTTCAAACTGAGTGACAGTTTGTTGTTCTGGGAGTCCAGATCATATTTAGCAAAACTATTCTAGGATAAGGCTTAAATAACTCAGTAGTCTGAGAAAATCAGGATGGATACTTGGCAGAGAAAACAAGTAAAGTACAGGTAAATTTAACAAAAAGCTTTCATTACTTTTTCTAGCATAACTGTGTTGGTAAGGAAGGCAATACCCTGATCCATGTACCTGTGTCAGCAAGAAGCTATTGAACTGATGTAGTTGTATTGACCTTCCTTTCATTGGTATTGATTCTTTTACATGTGAACTTGGTTTTATTCTCTCAGCCTCGCTGGTGTAGCTGTGCCCAAGCTCTTAGCACTTTGCTGTAGTGGGAGACACTGTACTCTTGGCTTTCAAGTCCAAGACACAAGTACAGTGACAGGCTACTAATCCCACTCCAGTTCCACGTGTGCCTTGAGTAATTGTGCTCTCCTATGGATCAGCTTTAACATCTCCAGAGAGCACAAGAGATGCAGCCCTTGCCTTCCACAGGTGAAGGAGACTTTGGTTTTAGTATCTGCTGTCATCTCACTGACCTTATGATGTCCCCTTACAGATGCTTCTTTTGGCAGTAATTTTAATAACACTGGAGTGTAGTGTGTTCTACCGGTGCTGCCAGAGTGAGAGCTGTAACAAAACCTACAGGGTGAGTCTGTGTTTTGTTTTTGTGCATCTCTTTAGCATTTGTTTCGAGCACCTTCCTGCTCCCCTGCTTCCAGCACATCCTGCTGCCCTCTCCACTGCTCTGTTTTCACTTCCTTTCACAGGGGAGGATTCTAAATTGGATTGCAAGGTCACAGAGAATGTAGCTTCTTCCTTCTGATGCATAATAAGCAGGATGAAAGAAAATTAGACAAGCACTCCCCCCACATCCTTGTAAAATAAAATAAGAGCATAGAAGGCCTGAGCCTGTCAATGAAGTGCACTGACTAAAGAGCCTCATCCCTTTGCCTGTATTATTTGGAAGCTATTTTTTCCAGTAATGACTCATACGCTACCTGGGATTCAGACATATTTAATACATAGTTGTGTTCCTCCAGTGTATTGGGAAATAATTTTTCAAAAATGCAATTTTTAAAAAAACACCCAAAGAATATTTAACTTAGCGTTTAGGAACTGTCTTCATCTTTGTTTTGTGTGTGTATGCTTACTATACTTTACTGGCTATTTTTCTTTCTGAGTTTTGAAGACTGGGAAAATCCAACATGAAGTTCACCTGAAGGAAGTGGCTAGGCAGGCTGAATGATTGTGTTTGCTGCAGACACTGTCCCCACACAATAATATTTCTCTCTCTTCAGAGTTTTATTTCCATCGTGTTGGCCCTGCTTGGAGTTGCTTTCTCAGGATACAGTTGCATCATTTTCACCCTGGGTTTGATTCAAGGCCCTTTCTGCAATTCATCAAGTGGATGGGATTATATTTTCAGAGACACTGCTGGGGGGTAAGAAATATCAGTGTAACTCTTCTGGAAGAAATTGTTCATCGAATCAATAGATGCATTCTTCTCACTTCACAGTGGTGTTTCTCTAACAGGTACCTCACAGATTACTCTGCCTGGACTCGGTGCACAGAGCCCGCTAACATAGTGGAGTGGAATGTCATTTTGCTCTCGATTCTGATAGCTCTCAGTGGACTGGAGTTGATCATCTGTTTTCTCAAAGTGGCTGCTGAGCTGAAGCGAACGCTCTGTGGGACCTATTCTGTTTTTGGACAGGTAACAAAACATCTTAGGTTAATTTCTTCAGCATCTCTAAGTCAGTTTAGCTTCAGCAATTTCTCTTAGTTGAGAACCTATCCTTTTGGTTTATGCATTCTCTATGCCATTGCATTTTTTTAACCAGAGGATCTATACTGATAACACATTTGTTGGTTTTGATTAATCCACTAATTCCTTGTGGTATGCAAGGATTGGTGGCTGCTCACTCTGACCTTTAAGGCAAGGATTGAGAAGAAAAAAAAGCTGCTGAGAATTGAGCACTGATGCTGAATCTGTTACTGCTATGTCAGCAGAGGTTTTTTGGGATTTTTAATTTCAACTGGGTTGGAAAAGACCTTAAAGATCATCAAGTCCAGCCCTACTGTGGTTACTAGACCGTGGCACTAAGTGCCACATCAAGTCTCATCTTGAAAACCTCCAGGGACAATGAATCCATTACCTCCCTGGGCAGCATATTCCAATGCCTGATTATTCTCTCCATAAAAAATCTCTTCCTAATATCCAGCCTAAACCTCCACTGGCAGAGCTTGAGCCTGTGTCCTCGTGTCCTGCTGCTGGTTGCCTGGGAGAACAGACCAACCCCCACCTGACTCCAACCTCCTTTCAGGGAGTTGTGGAGGGTGATAAGGTCTCCCCTGAGCCTTCTCTTCTCCAGGCTGAACACCCCCAGCTCCCTCAGCCTCTCCTCATAGCACTTGTGCTCGAGTCCCTTCACCAGCTTCTGAGTCAGAAATCAGCAGTTTCTGAGCACCTTTCTTCTAGTATTCAATTTACAGACATTTGTACCAATGTGTGACTTTCACAGCAATGATGAGAGAGATTTGCATTTCCTTTTTTTATTTGCAGGCCAGGATTCTCTGAACTTGGCAAGGAAATCGTTGCTGCTTTTCCCCCAGCCCCAGAAAGAGAGAGAGAGAGATGGTATCTCCAACATGCATGGTGCTACAAAGAGAAATTAAACCCTTGTCTTAAATCTTTGTCTCTCAAACCTCTCTATTTTGGGTGAAGTTATTTGAACTGTTTGACATCTACATTTTTCTCACCTGTCCTGTTGTCCCTGGCAGGGACTCTTAGTTTTTTTACCCTGCAACTTGTTGTGACAATAGAGAGGTTTGAATACTATGGAACTGCTTTTGTATTAAAATCACCTGGTTTTTTATTGTTAAATAAACTGCTCCAGAACTGCTCTAGAACTGCTTGTTTTGTATGATTGTGTCTGGTGAATTTACATTTCCACTCTGCCACAGGTTGGTATCTCCTATTTTACAGGCCTCGCCAGTGGGATGGGAGAAAGAATCAGAAGGGTAAAAGCTAGAAAACTCATGGCTTGAATTAAAGATAGTTTAATAGGGAGAACAAGAGCTGCACACACAAGCAGAGAATTAATTCACTGTTCCCCATGGGCAGAGGGTGTTGGGCACCTCCAGGAGAGCAGGGCCCCATCACACGTAATGGTTCCTTTGGAAGACAAACACCATCACTCCAAATGTTGCCCCTTCACTCCTTCCTCCCTGCACTTGATATACTGAGCATGATGTCCTATGGTATGGAATATCCCTTTGGACAGTTTGGGTCACCTGCCTAAGCTGTGTCTCCTCCCAGTCTCCCCTACATCCCCAACTTTCTTGCCAGCATGGCAGGATGAAAAGCAGCAAAGGCCTTGGCTCTGTGTCAGCACTGCTCAGGAAGAACACACACATCTCTGCATTATCAACTCTATGTTCAGCACAAATCCAAAACACAGCCCCATTCTAGCCACTGGGAAGAAATTCAATTTTGCACAAGCCAAAACCAGCACACAGGGCAAATAAACAAAAAAAACCCCTGCAGAAATCATTTTGAGCACATGACTCCAACCTGTGAAACTCCAGAATTTCATCATAGATTTGGTCAAATTTCAAAATCTTGGCTTTGGCCACAGTCATCACTTTCATGCAGATGTGTAGAAGGTTCTAGAAGGTGAGATCATGAAATTCAATATTCTGACAGTGCCTGAAATTTTCTATATGAATACTGATTAAAATTGGTAATTTATCTGTATAGCACAGTCCTGGTAAATAAGGATTATATTTGTATGTCCTGAAAGGGAAAATTCTGCACTTTAGTTATGGTCTGAATCTTAATCTTCTATCCAGAATAATCATAATTTTTCTGACCCATATTAAAATTGCCTCAGAGAGGATTGTGGTTACTACAGATTTACTGCAGATATTTTTAAGCTGCCATACAGTAAACAATGTCATTTAGAGTGAGTGTGACTGTGTCAGTGCTCAGAGCACAAACAAGATTTTTTAAGATTTCCCAAATGACTGAAAATACTATTTTTTAATAGAAGTTTACAGGTGGCTTGTTATGTCTAAAGTTTCAGACACAACCATATTGTAATGAATATATGCTCGAAAAAGTGCCCTTGCAAACTCTAGTTAGGTTGTTTTCAAACGTTTCACTTTTAAGGTCCAATTTTGTTCTTATTTTTCAATGAGATTAACAGATACAAAATGTTTATGGAACTTCAGTAAAGCAAAAGAAGCATTTGGCACTGGGTAGTGCATTTAGATAATAGTAACATTTAAGATTATGTGGATCTTATGCTTTTAATCATTGAAGAATGTGGATTATCCTGTCTGGCAATGGACTAGGAGGAAGATAACATAGGGAGGTCATTTTGTGGCATTTCCGAGCCTCATTTCCATTTGAGCAACCCTGAAACTGCTTGGAAAGGGGATGCAAACATGCCCCACCTCCATCAGTGAATAGCCGGTCCTTTTCAGCTTGAGCAATATGTGCCACACTTCGTGCTAAAATTGCATCTCTGAGGGAGCTGTGGTGGGTAGCAGAGCTGACCAGGCATGCCCTGATGTTCACCCTTGTCCCAGTGACTTCAGTCCACCCTTGTCTGCTTGTGCCACACCAGTTTGGTGTGGCTGTGCAGAAGGGAAGAGGCAGATCTTTGGGGCAGAACGAGCGAGGGGAACAGGCAGGTGAAGGTGAACCTTGGGCTCCTTGTGTCAGTACAGAGCAGGTACACAGGGAAAAGGTGCCAGAGCTTTCCACAGCATGCTCGAGAAGTTGTGTTCTTGTGCCACACATCACAGGCATTGTTTTCTCAGGACTATATGAGCTAGAGAGAGAGTGGTGAAGAATGCAATTAAGTTTAAGTCTGTAAATCCATTTAAATTTACTTCCAGTTCAGGGCAAAATTTACAATCTGTGACACTCTAAATGGTAATTTGTGTGATAGTAGTTTGGCAGGAATTGAAAAAATGTTTTTGAAGATTATTTGAACTGACGAGGTTACCAGAATCCTTTGTTTGCTCTCCACACACAGAGACATTGTGCAATTGGTTTTATTGTGCTCACCAAAGCAAACAGGAGTGGGGAGGGGGAGGTAAGGACATGGGGGTGGGAGAGACGGGGATATATAAAGGGAAATTGCATGTGTCTGTCCTGTGGTTTCATTTTGCTTTTTCCTCAAGGTTCGTGAATGCAAGATGAAGCTGTTCCTTCTAAGCTGCTTGCTGGTTTCTTGCTGTTGCCAGGCTGGAGCAGTGAACAGGGAGTACTACATCGGCATTAGGGAGACAGCCTGGAACTATGCACCCGGCAGTGCCAACGCCATCTCGGGGCAGCTGTTTGCAGAAGAGGAGTAAGTAAAGCAGTTCACGCTGGTTGAGTTTGATTTTACAGCATCGTCACCAGGGCCAGACTGAAAACCTGGTGAAGGCAGTGAAAAGAATTTCGTTGGTGTCAGTGGATTTTGTCAGACGTGTAAGAGAATTTTGACTTTTTTTCCTGGCTTGCTTGAGAATTGCATTCCAATGTTCTGTTAATTAAAAGCACTGGAATAGGCAGTGGTGTGTGAATTTGTGGTAATGAAATATTTACTAAGTAGAGACTAGAAAAAGACCCAAAATGTCTAATGATGTTTAATTTTGGATGTCTTAGGTGCCAGTGCTGAACAGATGACTTATGCTGTTGTTTTTGAACACAGAAGTTTGACAGATTTAAAACTTTCCCACTGTGCAGAGGTTTTGTTTTTAGTTATTCATTGTTGGCAGGGGTGGTTTTCACTGGTGCAGCAGCACAGCTGGGTCCTTCCACCCACAGTGCCATAACATATTTGTTTAATTTAGTTTGCAGCTCAAAAGCTTTCTGCACTCAGACTTCTAGTAACTGAGCCTTTGAGTTTATGCTCCCTGAGTTTCATGGAGCTCTGAACTGGCATTTTAATTACACTTCAGATCTGTGCTTGCCAAGGTACAAACAATTCCTTCCCTACATGCTCTAACAATACTCAGCCTTGTGAAGAATACTTTGCATTTTTGGGCAGTATTAACTTGCTTCACGACATGGCTTGCTGGGAATATTAAACCAAGTTGGCTTAGTTTCTTGGCGGGGAAGACGGCTGAACCTCAGGCAGTGTTGCCCTGTCTCCTGGGATTGCCTCCTCCTGGAGGAAGTAACTTTACTTCCACAGCTGGTCCTCCTGAAACAGGCAGGGAAAGGGGCAAGAGGGTTTGTTATTAAGGAGATGAGTTTGGGTTCACAGCACCAGCCAACAGCAGCACTCCTGGTTTGGACAGCCAGTGCTGGCAGACCCTCTCACCATTGTAGTTAGCAAATACAAGTACTTTCTCCACTTTCATAAAGACTAAAATATTTAATGAAAGCTACCTGACCCTCAGCATCTGCAAAGGTTGGCTCCAAAGCCATTCCCTGTTGATAGTTGTCAGAAACATGTGGTGACTCCTTGTCTGTGGTTGGTGGTGCTGGGACAGCATGTTCATGACAGCAACACATTTCAGAACCATTGGTGCCATCTGTAGGAGATACCATCTCCATTAGCCTCACTTCAGCTCATGGGATAGGCTCTTTCCTCTTTCACCAGCTCTCGTGGTCTCACTCATTCCAGATTCTGTGTGCCAGCCTGTCCTCCTGCCCGTGCACACTCTGGGCTTCAGCAGCACCTTGCAGTTTTGCTCATGTCCAGACAGCTTATATGTATTTACTGGCTGAAAATTCTGCTCCTCATTCAATGGAACAAGGCCTATGCAGTCAACATCATGGTGTGGTGATGGAAATAATTATTTTAAACAGGCTGGAAAATTATACAGCAAATTAAGCATGCAAATACAATGTTTAGAGCAATAAAAACTATTATTTTCCTTCTCCACACAGTCTCAGATTTCCCTGAAATTGTATCAAATACCTTCACCTTCAGTCTACAAAAGAGGTAGAAAAAATATCGGGTTGGTGTATAGTATTTATTTTCTATATGGGTGCCTAACTCTTTGTGGTAAGAGACATACTTGTTCCTAGCAGTGCTGCAGAGGCCTGGTCTTTATTTGAGACTCTACTAATTAAATCCATTAACATATAAAGTGAGTATCTGACACTACAGATGTGTGTGTGTTTTCTTTACAGGCAGGCTGAAGTCTTTCTCAAAAGAGGACCACACAGGATAGGAAGCATTTACAAGAAGGCTGTCTACACTCAGTACACCAATCATTTATATGATGAGATAGTTGAGAAACCTTCCTGGCTGGGATTTTTAGGCCCTATAATTAAGGGAGAAGTTGGTGATTCCATTACTATTCACTTGAAAAACTTTGCTTCCCGAAACTACACACTGCATCCCCACGGTGTAAGATACACAAAAGAAAATGAAGGTAGGTGGAGTTCATTCTGTGCCAGAATTCATGAAAAGTGACTCATTCCTCGGAGTGTAAGTGATATTCTCTTATCAGAGAGATGACTGGTCAAGTAAATAAAGATTTAAACTAGGACACAATCAATTGAAAACAGGAGCTAAGAAGTTTGATAGTTGTTTCAAGAGTGAAATACAAAGCCAAAAGTGGAATTCTTAAAGGAGGTGATTTTAGATCAGCGTTTTACCTGAGAGTATTTGTGTTTCACCTGAAATAAGGGTATAAAGGTATATAAGAGATTCAGGGATGGAGGATATATATATATTAAAAAAAAAGATGCTGATGTGAAGAAATATTGTTAACAGTGATAACTTACAGCTCCAAATTCTCAACACTGATTCTGTGTATATGGTGTATAAGATACACAAGAGTTTCTTAAAACTAAGGAACAGATACTGCTTAGTAATTAATTAATGAGGTGAAAGCCTGACACACTGTAAGGCATATCCAGGAGTGCTCCTGGGATCAGTGATGGTTTGTCCTTGCAATCACCAGTCCCCACACACTTGGATGATGGGGGTTTCTGCACTGGACAGCATCAGGCTATGGCTGTTCAAAATTTTATTGTTGGGCCTTAAGAACAGCGTGTGAGTTGCTGAGATATGATGTTGTCTCAAAGACATTTCATTAGAAGCATTTGTGAAGTATCAGCTTCTAATATTTTGTGAACTTTTTCATTACAGCTAATGTATGTCCTGATACAGACACGCTCTGTGGGACCAGAACAGTGTGTTACATAGCAGTACATGCTCTTCTTGGAATTTCTTTCTGTTGCTGTCATTCCAGCAACACCTATATTCCTTCAGGACATATGCAATATTTTAGAACAGTTTCCAAGATTAATATTGAACAAATCTTTTACAAATATTTGAATTGTTATCTTTTTACCAGAAGTGCATAGTCCCTTCCCAGTAAATTAAAGACTAACTTTAATGTGCCATTAATTGAAGCACTCCCATGGACCTGAAAGGCAAATGAAGGGATTTCTGAAGAGAAAGAAAATACCTATTCACCTGGTTTTAAGGCTGGGGTTTTTACCTGTATTCAGATGTTCAGTCCATTTTACTACAACATGTAGTCAACTGTAAGCATGGCAGGAGCTATCCTGATGTCCCGTTGTGCTCATGTTCTGCTAATGGTGGCTGTGTGGCAATTCTTCAGGTGCTCTTTATCCTGACAACACCAAAGATGTGCAAAAGAGAGATGATGCTGTGGAGCCCGGAGGCCTGTGCACTTACACATGGGATGTGACAGAAGATCAGGGTCCAGCTGAAGGAGATGCAGACTGCATAACCAGGGCTTACCACTCCCACACAGATGCTCCAAGAGATGTTGCCTCAGGGCTTGTTGGGCCTTTAATAATTTGCAGGAAAGGTAAGCCATAAATAAATGAGTAAATAAATACATATGCAAGGTGATTGATAATGCTTATTGATAAATATCAGTGAAATAATTTACTGGAGGAGAAGATTCCAGCTGAACAGCTTTTGGCCTTCTCTATTAACTGTCTTTAGTAGTGTAGGAAGTAGTCTGATTTTCTGTGTGACAGCAAATGTAATTTGCAGAATACTTTGTCCACAAATTCATATGAGTGAGATGTGTTCATGCTAGCAATGCACAAGGAAGTGTAAATACTGATACAACAAACTATATATATATACACAAATTCATATGAGTGAGATGTGTTCATGCTAGCAATGCACAAGGAAGTGTAAATACTGATACAACAAACTATATAAATATATATATGAGAAACTGAAAGATACTATAAAATAACTTTACTGAGAATAAATATTGCACATAAATCTGTTTTCTGAGCATGACTATAAGTTTATGTGTACAGTCACACTCAAGAAAAGTGGCAAAACATGAAGTAAACAGTGTAAGACTAACGAAAAATTACTGGCAGTTACCAAAGACTGATTATTCTGCTTTCCTTTTCAGGTACAATGAATGGGAACAGTGATCCACACTTTGATGCTGAATTTATCCTTATGTTTTCTGTGATGGATGAAAATCTCAGTTGGTATCTAGATGACAATATCAGAACATACTGTTCTGAGCCTTCCAAAGTGAACAAGGACGATGAGGACTTCCAGGAAAGCAATAAAATGCACTGTGAGAGAACATTATATTAATGTTACTTGTCACTGATATGGGGAAGTAATACTTTTATGTCTTGCCTCTTTTAAAGGTGACTCGTAGATAAATTTTTCTTTTTAATCAAAGCTTTTTCTTGGAGGATTAAGAAAGATCCTTTTAAATTAAAAAAAAAAAGATTTCAAAAGTGATAGCAAGTATTGTACAATCAAACCTTTGGAGCTGTGATATAAAATTCTTAGGGGCCAAGAAGCTCTTTGCCAGTGTCATTTCCCATTGCTCTGAACAGAGTTGTATTACTTTGTTCTGTTTCTCAGTCCTGAATTCTGTATAATACTATCACAGTTTAGAAAAGCAGTTTTCACTGTTAGTGTAGACAAATAAGATATCTTTGGCTCTGACAGGGATATGTCTGATACTGTCTCAGTTTCAAAGGAGCTTTCTTTTGAGCCTCTTCCTGTTTTGAAGAACAGAGCAATGGTTGTATGACACCTGCTTTTGAAGAAAATCTCCTAAGGTCTGTGAAGTTAACTGTAATAAACAACATCTATTTTAGCAATCAACGGGTACATGTATGGATACCTCCCAAACCTCACAATGTGTGTGGAAGATAAGGTAAAATGGCATCTTTTTGGCATGGGAAATGAAGCTGATATCCACTCAGCCTACTTTCATGGACAGACCTTAATAGAAAGGCATCATCGAGTTGACACCATCAGCCTCTTCCCAGCCACATTTGTCGATGCTGTCATGATACCAAGGAGCTCTGGGGAGTGGCTGCTCAGCTGCCAAGTGAATGACCATATCGAAGGTACAGTATAAGTTTCAATGATCAGAATCTTTTTAGCTTGAGCTAAGAGCTTACTGAGTCACTTTGCTGGAGCTTCTGACCTGGTTACATCCCAGGCAATATTCTCCTCTGCGTAACAAAACTCTCACAGTGATTGAAACACCTACAAGTGCATTAGGTGGGCATGGAAATCAAGGGAATTCTTGTCTGTAGTGGGAATCATTGTCAGCTGGCAGCAGTTAGCACAGCTGCACTCTTGCAAGCCTCAACTTCAGACAAAAAGCCAGCACGATGTTTGCCTCATACTGAAAATGCCTAACCACGATTTTCTGTTTGCCAGCAAAAAAGTCAGGGCTCATTCCATGCTTGGCACGGGGCACAGGACAAGCAGACTAAACTGCCTGCTGCCAAAGACATACTGATGTGGCTGAAGCATCCTGGCCAAGACTTAAATCCTACAAATCGGCCTAATCTGTAGCTGTAAAAGAGCTCTCTACTGTATTATTTGTATATCCAGCAAGCGGATTTGCTAACAGACCCTGCCCTTAGGGTGCAGAGACCCAGGAGTTCCACAAGTAAGTGTTGATTAGATTTAGACAGAAGATGGTCAGCCTGGTAGCATCTGGCCTTGGTTGAAGTGCTCACCAACAGCACCATGTCCACCCCACCCTGATCTTTGCTGTGCCAGTTGCAGCTGTAGAAGCAGAACGCACTTCACTGCAGCTGTCTGCCTGCTGGAGGTACCACGGCTGTGTCTCTCCATGCCAGCTCAGCTGGTGTGAGTTCTCTTGTAGCATTCATCTTCCTCTTCATTTGTGATTTGCATAGCTGTCACTGGTCTGGGAACCCTCCAGGGAACAGAAGAGCTGTTGGAAGCAGGGAAAGATACAACAAAGTGCAGTTACTTCTCCTTAGGTTTCTCCATCTCCTTTTTTTTCCAGGTGGTATGCAGGCACTTTTTGAAGTAAAAGATTGTAAAAAATCCACACCGGATCACAATGAGTGTACAAAGATAAGACAGTACTTCATTGCTGCCGAAGAGATCATCTGGAATTATGGACCATCTGCAATGAACCATTTTACAGGACAAGAATTAATTGTTGACAGGTAAATGCTTCTAATTAAAGTTTTATGTTCCAAGCAGAATTGATTTAAACATGGTAAATAAGGTAAGCCATGTGATAGAACTGACTTTCCAGCTGAATTTGCTCATTGTGCTCACCTCTGTTTAATATTAATGCTTGGATAATTATCAGTCCAAATTAGGTCTGTTGTTCCCCATGTAATCTTACTATAAATTTTGCTGCTATGTTAGTCATTTCACTGGGATTAAGATGAATTATTATGTCACATGTAGGCAGTGACCCCTGGTGATTCAAAACAGTTTATTGTTCTGAGTTAGAGAACAAAGTTAGGAATTCCTGATCATCACCTCAGCTGATGGACATCTCATCTAGGAAACAGCTTGCACAAGATAGCTTTGCCCTTTGCTCTGTGTTTAGACATTTAAGTCCTGTATGAATTCACTGAATACCTTGATTCCTCAAATTTTTCAGCTGTGAGTTAAATAATATTTACCTCCTCCATGAGGGATGAGGCACAGTTCATTGTTTGAATACTGCTAGTACAACCCTGAGAGGTCCTTTCTTGAAGAATAAAAGTGTAGACTGAATCTTTCTCTTTGTGTTTAGATGTTACATATTCTTGGTGTTTGTATCCACTGTTGTTGAATTATTTGTAATTTTTAATAAAAAGGAGAGTAAACTTGAAGTTGTGAAATGTTGACTAGAAATCACTGTTGGAAAGTGTCTGAGCACACTTGGCTCTGGAAGGGCAGCACTGCACAGTGGCTTAAACAGAAGTTAGCAGAGGGTAACAGAGTCCTGTGTATCTTACATGGGACTGCATAGACGTGTGTGGCCAGACCACTGAAAAGAGACCCAGAGACAAACTCAGCATGTCATGCTCAGAAAACAAGGTTGAAGTCCTCACTGCCTTTGTATGGCTGAGCATTATGACTTGAACCTTTTACATCTATTGCAATTTCTTCTTCACAGTGAATCTCAGACGTTTTTTGAGCAAAGTGAGACAAGAATTGGTGGTTCTTATAAAAAAGCAGTTTACAGGGAATACACAGATGGTTCTTTCACTGAACATAAAAAAAGACTCGCAGAGGAAGCACATCTTGGACTCTTAGGTAAGACAGTCTAAAATCTTTTCATGTCACAGATTTTTGAGAGTAAACAGTCACTTCCACCAGTTAGCGAGCAATGCCCCCACTCTGAGGAGGAGACCTCAGCTCCTCCTGCCTCCTGCAGATTATGGTGCCTGTGGCTTGCCCCAGGAGACACCCCAAGGGTTCAGGAAGCTCCTGAATGCTGGTGCCCAGCTTCCCTGTGGGAGCATGCCACAGTCTCCACAGCTTGGGCTCTGAATTATAAGGCTAGGCTAGGCAGGTCTAGTCTTATTGACAATCTGGCTGTTTCTGGCATGGGTTGGTGCTAATTAATGTCTGTAGATCACAGAACCACAAAATCATTCAGGTTGGGAGGGACCACAGTGGGTCATCTGGTCTAACCTCCCTGCTCAAGCGAGGTCATCCTAGAGCACAGAGGGAGGAACTGTCCTGAAAGTCACTGGGTCTCCATATGAACTGGGCTGCCGCGTGGCTCAGGCCATGTGCCAGGGACCTGGTCTATGGCCACGAGGGCCCAGGAGCATTCCCCATGCGAGGGGAAAAGCAGCCAGGCACCGATCGCTGTACGTTCTTGGTGACTTGTGCACCATTTGAGAGAAACATCCTGCAATGAGACCATGTGCTCTTTTCCAGGCCCCGTGATCAAGGCCGAAGTGGGCGAGTGCCTGAGGGTGACGTTCCGGAACAACGCGAGCCGCGTGTTCAGCATGCAGCCCCACGGCGTGC